ATCTATCTATCTATCTATCTATCTATCTATCTATCTATCTATCTATCGCTTGATTTGTGGAAAAAGTGCCGCTGAGAAGAAATCAGAAATAAATTTAAGCCTTATGCCAAACACTTCTAAAAAGCAACATACTATATTGCACTCAGCATGGGACATTTCACAATTTGTGGTTGAAACATTTTACACACCCCTAGAATTGGAACACTATTTTCCTTTTTCTAAATTTAATTTTTTCTAATATATACTGTGCTTGAAGTTTGATAGAACTAATTTTCTAATAATTCAGTTTTAGATAGTTTGATTTTGCTTGAATGTATTTTTTAAATATTCTTCCGGATTAGGCAGGAGATAATGTGAATATAGAGTCATATAAAGCATATGTATCTTTAATTAAATAATGCCAGTTTCAGCTTGGCACTGTACCACATAAAAAAAATAAAAATAACTCAGAAAAATTCCGCATTCTATAATTCAGAGGGATTTCAAGCTTCTATTTCCTTGAAATAAGATGCTACTTGAAGTAGAATGAATCTTCTCTACTATTTGCTTTTTTTCTTCCTGTACAGAGTGTTAGTTTCACTTTCATTATAGCCTGTGAGGTTTTTTTTAATTAAACATTGCCTTACCTGGGCATGTTACCAAGTATCAGAACTAATAGTGACAAAATAATTTCATTTAGAACCTGGAAAGAAAATTATTCTAGAATGATTTTTAAACCTTTTTTCAAGTTTAGTGCCTTATATAATTGACATTTGTAAGTCCATATAAAGGTAGTACTTGACTTATGACCACAATTGTAAACCAAACTTCCCTCACTAAGTGATACGGTCATTAAGTGAATCATGCTTAATTGTATGAATGTTTTTGCTGCAAATGATATTTGTTGATGTGTTGCCCATCTTAGAATAATATTAATCTGCATAGTGTACAATAGATTTATGTTTTAATTATTTAATGATTTTAAAATTTTTATTTGTAATTCTGTTTTTATTGTATACCTCCTAAAGTCAGATTTGTGAAATGGGCAACTATATTAATTTGATAAAATCAAGAAGTACTTAATGCCATTTTGTCAGTAAGGATTTTGAATCACCACTACTTTCGAATCTTTTCTCAAGGACTCAGGTCACACTCCTGTAAAAGTTGTTCAGGATCCGAGACATAGGAAATGGTCTAAAACCAGAGATCTTTCTCTTCCTGTCCCAAAATTTAAGGTAAGCTACACTTACTTGGTTACAGATAATTTTTCTCCAATTCCCTTAAAGCCTCCAGATCCATTAGCAGAACACTAAGTATCACATATGTATTTCTTGGAAATGCATTCTGAGATTTCCTTTCATTTCTAAAGATTCCCTCAGGATAAAGAAGGTTGGAAGATAAGAGTAAGTTGGTAGGGAAATTGAGCCCTGTCAGTTTAAACAGTAAGCATATATATCTACCTCCTTCAAAATTGATGCTGAAAAATAAGGTAGTATTCAAGGAGATTGCTATAGTTCTTTTATAAAAACTAAAATTCTCAAAACTGACCAAGAACAGCAATAGTGGCTCCTAGGAGGACACACCATGTTGCTGCATTTTGTTCAGACTTTCTGTATTTCTTTTGGATGAATTTTGGTGAAATATCAATGGATAATAAATGTGTGCTTAAAAAATAAAAGAAGAAGAAACTTTCAGAAAAGTACAGGATAAATAAAGGATATCCAAAGTGTGTGGGTGTATATAGAAGTGTCCATTTTAGTTTTGGAAATTATTGCCAAGGAAATGGTAATACATTGTACTTAATAAGATCTGGGATTTAAATGGAGAAATATCTACTTCAAGGGCCAGAGACCTGGACCCAGATGATCAAAGTTCAGCAGAACCATGATTTCTGAGTCTATCCTTATCAATATTCTTTAAAACTATTTTCTTAATTATTGGTATGTAACTGAACTGGAAGTTGATTTTAGCTTCCTCATCGCATCTTGCTTTCTGTCATTGCTGCAGCTAGATGAGCACTACGTGGGCCAGATCCCTCTGAAGGAGGTGACTTTTGCTCGGCTCAATGATAACATCAAGGAATCCTTTCTCTGTGAGATGTGCAAAAAGTATGGTGACATTGAGGAGATTGAGATTCTGTATAATCCAAAGAATGGCAAACATCTGGGTCTGGCCAAGGTGCTCTTCACCAGCACAAGGGGGGCGAAGGAGACAGTCAAAAACCTGCACAACACTTCAGTCATGGGCAACATCATCCATGCCCAGCTGGACATCAAAGGTAATGACCATTTATTTATTTATTTTAAGGGATTTATATTGCCACCTATTCGCACATGGTGACTCAAGACGGCTTACAAGAATATAAAAACTTCAGATAAAAAACAATAAAACTAATAAAAGAGAGAATCATATAATAAAATAATAAAATAAAATAAACCCTCCGCCTCGACGACTTCGGATGAGCCATTTAATGGGCTCCATCCTACTCTGTATTCCCCAGGCCTGCTGGCAGAATCAGGTCTTCAGTGACTTCCAAAAGAATGTCAGAGTGGGGGCCATTCTAATCTCTGTTGGGATGATGTTCCAGAGAGGGACCCACCACGGAGAATGCCCTTCTTCTGGGTCCTACCATGTGTATCTGTCCCTAGAGCAGGGCTGTTTAACGCCCATTCCCGGTTTAGCAAAGGGGAAAAAAGTCCTGATATGTCACGTGACAATGCTGTGATGCTGTGAGTTTGACACCCCTGCCCTAGGGAATGGGAGCCGCAATATTCCCTGCTTCTCCTCTCTGATGGGTTGGCAAGAGATGGTCCCTCAGATAACCTGGTCCCAAGCCATGAAGAGCTTTAAAGGTGACAACTAACACTTTGAATTGCACCTGGAAGCAAATCTTCAGCCAATGCAGCTCCTGCAGGAGAGGTGATGCATGTGCACACCGCGGTCTACAAAAACATTTGAGCCGCTGCATTTTGCATCAATTGGAGCTTCCAGATGTTCTTCAAGGGCAACCCAATGTAAGCGCATTGTAGTCAAGATGGAAAGTGACTAGGGCATGAGTGACCATGAGTAAGGATTGTTGGTCCAGGAAAGGCCGTAACTGACGCACAACCCACAGTTGCGCAAAGGTCCTCCTGGCCACAACCGCCACCTGCTCTTCAAGCAAGAGTCACGAACCCAGGAGAACCCCCAGATTACACACAGGATCTGTTTGGGGTAGTGCCACCCTATCCAAAACTAAAGGTGGCAATTCTCCCTGGTTCAAAGAACCCCAAACCAAGGGCCACTCGGTCTTGCCAGGGTTTAGTTTCAACCGGTTGCTCCCCATCCAACCCCTGTCAGATCCAGTCACTGTGAAAGGGACATTGCTTAACTCACCACAGGCTTAACTCATCTTTAGTCACTCTCCTAATTTAGTATCATCTCCCTGGTTTTGAATGGCAACTGTTTTTTTGTTTTTACAGGTCAACAACGTATGAAATATTATGAACTGATTGTGAATGGCTCTTTCACACCCCAGACTGTCCCAACTGGAAGCAAAATGTTGAATGAAAAATTCTCAACTGATTTGGTAACTTTACAAACTTATTTGAATCTACTGGATTAGTTTAGGTGTCCCTTTTTCTTCATAAGATCTCTCCTGTAGTCTTTCTTCTCTGCTTAAGACTTGCTTAATTGTTTGATCACCGAACAAGAGAAAATTTCTTACTAATTTCTGCTTTCTTGATATAGCTAGGATACTGCTTCCTTCCCTCTGCTGAACTGCATTCATTGCCTACCTGCAACTCTCCTGTGTCCTATAGGTAGTAGCTGATGCCTTGCTTTAGGCAGCTCAGTCTTCAATTTTGCCATGTGTGCATTTTGGTAAATGAAGTAGCTGAGCTAAGAAAATGTTAGGTGTCATCTAAGACAGATGCTTACCTATTAGGCAGTGTGGTGTGAGCCATTTGGCTTTGCATTGCATGTGAATTTTAGCTCTGAGCAAGAAGTGATATCAAGCAATTGTCACATATTGTTTTTACAGTCAGAGTCTCGAAGACACCATTCAGCCAATTCATTGTACCCGAGTAATGCAATGCCTTCAACGCCTGGCAATGGCACCCCTTGTTCTCAGGACACTCCATACTCTAGTGGCCGACAAGAAATACCTTCTTATGGCCAGTATACACCACAGTCCCAGGGGACTCCTTATACCCCTCGGGGCGGAACTCCATATTCACAGGATTCTGCCTATTCTAGCAGGTAAGGGTTTCTCCAACACACACACACACACCCAGACAAGATTTGGGGAAATGATCTTACATAATATATGAGCCAGTTCATTGGGGGCAGAAAAGATGGACAGGTGCTCATGGAACTGCTTCTTTCTTTTCCTCTCCAAGGCAAGGGACCCCAGGCTACTCAAGCTACCAGCCAGAGTCAACGTCATACAAATCCTCTCGGCACGAGAACAGCTTTTCGGAATTGTACTTCCGCCAGCACTATGCTTCATCCATATCATCATCTTCATCTTCCTCCACTCACTACCGCAGCAATGACCATCACTACCCCCCTTATAGTCAGCAGTTTGGTGGCGGCAGCAGCAGCAGCGGTGTGGCCACAACCAGTAGTAGCCGATATCAACGCCTCTCATCCACCTCAGGGCGATTTTCCTCTTCCTCTCATCACTATCATCCAAGAGAGGACTCTGGCTTCCATTCCCGACACAGAGAACATTCTCAACGGGTTGATCCTACTCTTTCATCCACAGTCACCACCACTACTCCTTCCACCTGTGTTGTCGCTGCAGCTTGCTCCTCATCTGTGACAACAGCATCAGAAAGCATTCAGTTCCAGAACAGTCATGGTTTTGCCCAGCAGAGTGTAGAACATTTCCCAGCACCCAGTGTGCTCTACCCATCTTACACAGCCACCCCAGAGCCCTTCTCTGTGCCTGCAGAACCCCATGCTGTGGATCAGGATTACCGGCTACTCCCCACAGCAGAAACGTTTGCAGCCAACTCTCTGCCTCCCACAGAATTTCTTGCTCAGGAAACTAAAGAGAACATCAATCCAGTAGTGACCGTAGCTCCAGGGATTGATGACCTATCCCATTCTGCTATGCAGACCTCACCAGCCCGATCTGGTTCCCCTGCCCCTGAGACTACCAATGAGAGTGTACCATTTGCTCAGCACAGCAGCTTGGACTCCCGCATTGAGATGCTGCTGAAGGAGCAGAGGTCCAAGTTTTCTTTTCTCAATTCAGACACAGAAGAGGAAGAGGAAGAGAAAGGGGGGACCAAGGGAGCAAAGCCACATGGCCCCTGCACCCCACCACCACCTCTTCCAGTCAGCTTTGAAGATGTGGTGCCAGCCCTGTTTGTGGGAGCAGGAGATGAATCCCCAAAGGCTAATGGGCAAGACAGAGTAAGTTTTCAGGGTTTCAAATCTTTTTGTTTTGTTTAATAGAATTGATGTGAGTGGTTCTCTGTTGGCAATCTCTGAAAAAGCAACCTTCTGGGGCAGAACGGTACCATTCACGCAGAAGAATGTTTCAGGGCTGATGTCTAAGGAAGCTTGCTAAAGTACAAGTGTTTTTTTTAAAAAGGATCTACAGTAAAACCCTCAAATGGGACTGTAAAAATAGTAGATTTTGAATCCCAATTAATATTAGGACAATAGAATGGAGCAGCCAGAGAATAGTTTTATTGTCTGTAATTTTGAACACAAACCTGCTAGATCAGTGGTTCCCAAACTTTCAGTCCACCGCCCCCTTTGTGCTAGAAACTCATCCTCGGTGCCCCCC